ATTTTTATTTTTTTATCAGCTTCCATTTCTTCAACAAATACCCATTATGTTGCGATCAGGGCCACGCCATCTGCTACGGGACCGTTTACTGTTTACATAACAGTAGTAATGAAATCTTAATCTGACCATAGTTGTCATATAAATGTAGTGTCACATGTGACAAACAAAACTGTGGTTCCAGGAATTCACTCCCGGGCCAAAACACAGTTCAGTATTTACTTGGGGATGAACTGGTATCAAAGCAACCAAATGTCAAAGCCTGAAGGGAAACCAGTAAAACATAAAACACACTGTTATGTGCAAAATTGGCCTCTTATCTGTCCATCTCGTGTTTTCTCCATCACCTACAACTGTTTTTCATCTGTTTGTATATATTCTTTAATTAAAATAGTTCTTATATATTTGTTTTTCTTTCAGCATACTGCGCGGTGTACTGTAGGAAGTGAAGAAAGCAAAGTGAACAGTAAACTTCATGCAACCTGCTCTGGATAATATGGATAATGTGCTTAACTGTGGCTAATACAAAGCATATTTGAAAAGTTAAAATGTGGCACAGTCGAGGTATGAAGCAGCAGAAACTTCAAATTCCAAAGTGTGAGTGTGAAGAAATTGAGTAAATGTACTTAGTTGGACTTTTAGTTACCATGTTGTTTACAGAAAACCTGAATTGCTCATTGACATTTTTTTTCCCATAATACATCCATCACATCATAACCTCAGCTGGACTGTTTGTGAAATGTCACTGCATTGTAAAACATTTGTCAAAAAAGACCATAACTTTTTAACTTATTAAACTACAAGCAGAGATTCATCTGCCAGACTTCCTTTCTAAAGCGCATTACGTCTTTAATAATAAACCCTGAGAAGACGTACATAGTAAGAGCATTTTACTACAAAGCACGTATTCTTACAGCCTAGTGACTTTTATCTGGATGCAGGGCTTCTTGCTGGGAACCTCACACTGCCCCCAGAGCAACACTCATTATCACGAGTGTTTTTTATTGCTGTAAGTGGAGCAGACGTCTGCTCACTGCACACCGTCCTGCAAAGAAAAGTGAAATGAGCATTGCTGAGAAATAACACTTGTTCACTCTGTTTTTGGGTGGATTTTCACTTTAAGGCTCAACGGTGTCAGAGGTTCTTGCAGGATTAAAGGTTTTTTGTGTGCAAGCTACTCAACTGTGAGTCATTTCAGGACAGCATGTCCTTAAAAAACCTCATCGTTTTTATGGACTGATAACGGAACGATAAAGCAACTGGTGTCAAAACTCTGCTCATACCTAGAAATGAATTGTTTTATCAATAATTTGAAGTCATTTCGACTATGTGACTGAATAACAGAATGAAAGGCCACAGTAAAGAGGAAAATGCATGGTGTTAGAACTCAGTTATGATTGATATGATGGTTAGATATGAAGACAACTTATTTTCTCTTCCAAAATGCTCTCTTAAGCTACTGAATACAACTGGTCATTATCCTTTGTGGTACTTGACTCAAATCAGTGGTATCATGTCTGTTTATTTTGGGCTAAATGTAGACTGGATGATTTTAAAGAAGCTGTAGAGTATGAAACAAAGGGTGTGCATTATTTCTGTATTTGGGTCAGCAGTCCTTTCATTACCTAAAAGCATCCCTGCTCAGCAGTGAGCAGGAATGTGATTTAAAGAGTTAATCAGTCCTCCTCCAGCCTCCACCCCGGAGCTGAGGTCATATGCTGCACCTTACAATAGGCTGCCATTATGTAAGCGCTCCGACTGAAGTGGAACACTGATTATCAATGGTTTATTCAAACATCATCTTACGGCAGCTTCCAAAATGAACTTCAATGAGGGATCTGAGGAACCAAAGAAGGAGGTAAGTTTTAGAAATAAACAAATAAGTCTTTCCTTAGACTGGATTTATCTGCTGAGTGAAATATTCATTTCACTCTTGCATGTGTTTTGATGCATTTTAAGGTGAACAAAGTTCAAATAAAATATTCTTTTTTCTGGAACCAATAAGTACAGTGAAGTTCTGCATCCTGCCGAGTCTGCAAAGATCAAATGAACCATTTATTCAAACACTCTGCTCTGTTGTGGAAATTCTGGAAGAGTAGGATGAGGAGTCCGACACAGATGAGATGACTTAAGTTGAACTAAGGTTTACTGATATCAGGAGAAGTGACACTAAGAGCAGCAGCTCACGCATGCATTGCCAGCATCAATCCTAAAGATCCCTCTCACACCTTTAGTCTTGTGTCCTCCTTCAGTGGGAGCCACATGTAGATTTGTGGGTGAAAGGGAAACAAAGATAAGTCTGCGGTTTACGTGAGGTCAAGAATGTATAGAAGAGTTGCAGAACGCACATCTGCTGCAAACACCACGTTTACCTAAAAGAGGTTAATCAGTGAAGGATCTTCTCTAAAAGATTAACTCCAAGCCAGCAAAGTAATTTTTCCTTCACATCGTCCATTCAGTCTGCAGCGAGCACTGGGTTACACTCAAATCAGTTATTGCACGGTTCTGCAAAACTGTTTTTTTTTTACAAGGTTGCACGTTTTGGTTTCGGGTCACAAATAGCTACAATGGAAACGTAGCTGTCCATGTTATTAGCTATTACATGGTTTTGAACTTTAGTCATTTGTTGAATACATTTGCAGTCCATCCTGCTGTCATTGCTTCATTTTATTACTTTATGACTGTGTGCAAGACTGCACAGACGTGAGAGCTTCTGTGGGAATTCTGAGTTTGGCCTGAGAGGACCTGTGGTTGTTTCTTTAATTTTAATAATTGTTGTATTTATTAATGACTCCTTCACTCATATTCATTGCAGTCTGTGCACAAATGAAGAAAAAATAAATGTCACTTGTGCACGTAGAGTGAACCGAGGAAGATACCCCCACCTCCATAATTCCTCTCCTGATCATTACATATAATGAATTTTAATTTCAGGTCTTTTCTGGGATGATAGTGACCCTGTTCATCTTTAAAAAGCTTTTCAGCTGTGTTGATGTTATAATTTAACACATTTACATTTAGTGTTATGATAACAAAGTTGTAGTTATGTGATTTATGAATCATCTAAATGTGTTAATTTAAGCATATTTCTCGTGTACATATAATGCTGACATTCAGATGAGATATATTAGACCAGAACATAGATATTGTTTAGAAGGGTGATGTCTTACCTCAGTGTACCCTGCCAGTTCCTAACAAGGCAGTCTTTTATGAAGGGCTTGTACACTGGAACTGTTGATTTCATTAATTAAAATAATAATAAAAATAATAATAATTAAAGTGATCATGTGCTGTCTTGTTTTAAAAAGCTGTTTATAAGAACAAGTTTGGGGTTGCCAGGTTGTGAAAAATCAACTTTGCATACTTGTTGTTAACCCTTACTATTCATGCAGCTTTATTTAGTCTAATTATCGACAATTTCATCAGCTTTAAATATTCCTTGAATACTTCACTAACAAATTGCTGTTTATCCAGATATTATCCTGGAATTTGACACCAGTCAGAGAAGGTTGTTTTTTATTTTTTGCACAGTAGTCACACCAAACCTGTTAGTAATTAACAACAGCTCATGACCCCCAAACAGTGCTTTTAGGGGTTTTATTTAATTCTATTTATTTATTACCACTTTATCCACCTTGCAGGGACTTCTACAAAACAAACGACACGTAGAACATGGTGCACTTCCCGTTGTCTGTTGATGCATTTGCCTGTTTTAATGCAGCATTAATAAATAGAAATTTATTACCCTACCCTACCAAATGGATCAATAAAGTTCTATCTAATCTAATCTAATACAGACTGTAGCTGCTGCAGATGTTCACAGAACCTCACTGGCTGTTCTTCTAATGTTTGAAACGTAGGGGGAGTCGACACCCAGCTATGCTTTCTTTTTACTTTTCAGGGCATATTTAGCTTTCACACAATTGTACATGAAGTCCTGTGTTTTTAACTTTTTACAATCTGTAATGTATGTCACCTTACCTCAGTTAAATAAGTATTCAGCAAACACAGAGCATCTGTCAGGAGTTTGAAGAACTTAACCGAGGTGGATTCTTTATCGACCAGGTTCGCTCACACATTAAACAAAATTAACTTTAACATCTCTCGAGGTACTTGAATAGAATGCAACAATGCAAGTAAACTTAGGGGCTTGCAAACTAATCAATTAATACAACAATTCGAGCACAGTTCCTATAGATTTGAAAAGACAATGAAAAGATGTGCATTTAGGTCGGGATAAGTGTTAAGTGTGTAAAAACCATATGGGCTCTACATCAGTGATTATTCACAGTATATGCATGCATAATGCTTGTCCATGTTCCGTTTGTGCAGTTTGCTTGACTACATATTTCACAATGACTTATGTATGTGACAGCTGCAAATGACAGAGTGCTGGAGAGACGGAAAAGATTTAAGTCTCAGTGGTCATTTCCCTCGACTCTCCACCTCCTTTGTGCTCTTATCTTCACCTGCATCATTTATTTTTCACCACATTTACGGCAGGAAATAAACAAGTTTGTTTTTGTTGTGTAACTTATTGGTGATCTAGATATACATTCCTTCTATCTTTTCCCTGAAAAAAATTACACGAAGCTGAGCCTGTGGTCATAGTACCGTAAAATCCTGATAAACATGGAATAACGTAGCAGATTCTCTACACCCCACGGTCACTTCTGACAACAGAACAATTGTATTACCCTCAGCATAAACTCGTCCTCTCACCCATTCTAAGTTTATTGTTGAGAGAAAGCTCTTGCTTGAAAGGTACTCCGCACTCGGACAACAACAAATATTGGACTTAGAGCAAAACATCTGCAACAAAATGACAAAAGAACGTGTGGATGAATATCAGCCTCTGCTCGTTAAAGGACCAGACAGACAGCGACCAAAGGTAGGTGGAGTGTGGTGAATGAAATGGTTCGACCAAGAACTGGATCTCTTCGAGTGGCGGGATGCAGCTTTTTACGCAGGATTACATGAAAATGTGTGTTTTGAACGACGCGTTTGTGTGTGTTCTCCTATTTGCAGTATCCAAACAAGTCTCTTTTTCTGGCTGTGTGTGCTGCTTGTATCGGAGGAACCTTTCAATATGGATATAACATATCTGTCATCAATGCACCCACACAGGTAATGAATCTGCTGCGTCGTGATAAGAACAGATGCAGATGTAGAGGATGCCTACACACTATGGGATCTAAATAGAATAGAATAGAATAGAATAGAATAGAATAGAATAGAATGCTTTTATTGTACACAAAGTACAACGAAATTAAACGTCAGGATGGATTCACTCTGTGGTGCAAATTCAGTAACACGGAGCACAGAAAAGACAAGTGTATTATTGTGTGAGAGTCTTGTGTTAGATAAGTTAAGAATAAAGAGGTCCACACAGGTCTTGTGCTCCTCATTTGTAGCCTAAAGGCCTGTGGATACTCAGCCTCTACACCAAGCAGGGATCTAATATGAGCCTCTGTTTAATATCAGCTGGAATAATGTGAATCAATCAATGGCAATAATGTGTATTAATATTTGTGCACAGATCAGGTCAGAAAACAATATGCAACTCATACAGTCTGTGCATATACACATCTATTCTTATTATCATCTCCCACTCTCATTTCATTCTCTTTTTTTTTATCTTCAGTATGTGCAGGATTTTATCAACCAAACCTGGAGGGCGCGTTACCAAACTGGCATATCAGGAGATGTCCTCACCCTTCTCTGGTCCACTATTGTGTCTATGTTCACCTTAGGAGGATTTTTAGGAGTAACCATCGGTGGGACGTTGTCTGTTAAGCTGGGCAGGTATGTACAACAACAGATCTACTGGCATGCTGCTTGTTGTTTTCTGTATTATGCTGCTGTGACGTGCTCGTTGCAGGAAAGGGACACTGCTGGCCAATAACATATTTGCATTAATGGCTGCTCTGCTGATGGGTCTGAGCTACCCTGCAGGAGTATTTGAGTTGCTCATTATCGGACGTCTTTTCACTGGAATAAATGCAGGTAAACATTCATTTGAAGGCTTTGTTACTGAAAAACAGATGTATGCAAGAGATGTGAGATGATCCTTTTAAATATTTGGTTTGAACATTGCATGTCACACTTCTGAAATGTGCATTTAATATTTTATTTTATCTTATATATTTGTAGGCATCGCCCTCTGTGTTCAGCCTCTGTATCTGGCTGAAATTGCCCCGACTTCAATACGTGGAGCTATGGGAATGGGAACCTCGGTTTTCATCACTGGTGGGATCTTGACCGGACAAGTGATCGGCCTCAAGTAAATGCTGAATTTACGAGCCTATCACCGGAATCTGAGTTTAAAATGAATTGCTATGTTAATTAAAAAGCATGTTGACATGACATCTATGTGATTACGCAGAGAGCTCCTGGGCAGAGAGGAGTACTGGCCCATCCTGCTCTCCACAACTTGCATCCCAGCGTTCCTGCAGCTCCTGATCCTGCCCTGGTTCCCGGAGAGTCCACGCTACCTGCTCATCGACAAAGGAGACGAAGAAGGTTGTAAGAAAGGTAACATGACGACTTCTGTACCACTGCTTTTATTTCAAAATCAATAGGATCCATGTTTTGCCTTCAAGGATCGATTAAGTGCATGTGACAGTATAAAAGGCTCAAGACTCTCCTCTTCTCTGAAACTGCCAGAGGCAGAGACTCAAGCATGTGACTACATTGTGATAGCAGCACAATGATGTGAAAAGAATGATGCCGGAAACCTTCTGACAGGCTTCTTCAGCACAGACTCAGCCTGATCAGACGAAGAGAAGAAAGCTTCAGACACTGTGTCATGTGTTTTCCTCTCTGCAGCCCTGAAGCAGCTGCACGGCATGGCTGCGTGTGACGATGAACGGGAGGATATCGAGAAGGAGAAGAATAACTTGACAGGTTTGCAAGCCAAGAAACCATGGGAGCTGTTTACTGACCGCAGTTTACGCTGGCAGCTTCTCACCATCGTTGTGCTCAACATTGCACAACAGCTGAACGGCATCAATGCTGTATGTACATGATGCTCCTCACTTCAGTGACTTTACAAAAAGATGAAGAAGCTTTACCTAAAAAGTTAAAGTTCTTTTTTTCTTGTCTGTATTTCCTGCAGATTTACTTCTACGCAGATTACGTGTTCAGACAATCAGGCATTCCCGTTGATAAAATCCCATATGTGACTGTCGGCACCGGTGCCTGTGAATGCATCACAGCTTTGACATGTGTAAGTCTGAGTTTCCCATTGAAGCACATCTGATTTTACTTGGTGCTACAGCAAACAGACGAACAGTGATACTGCAGGTGGCTGACGACAAGTAAAATCTCAGAGCTTTAAATGCTTAACTGTTACAATTATCAACAAATAAGTAAAAGAGAAGTAAGATAAGTGGAAATAGAGCATAAGATGGTAAAACACGAAGCAGGATTTCCTGGAACTGACCTGCCATGACAGATCAGGCCTGATGTGTTTGCCCACACAGTGTTTTTTTAGTCTTGTGACATGATGTGTGTGTCTCACAGGGAATGCTCATTGAATGTCTGGGAAGGAAAGTGCTCATCACAGGCGGATACACACTGATGTGCATCTGCTGCATTTTATTCACACTGACGCTCACTTTCCAGGTAATTAACCGTAAGACCAGACTTTGGAAAAAAAACAAAACAAAACAGGCATTTCAATCCCTATTTCTAGCTTGTGTTAACATTTCTTTCTCCTGTCTCTTAGGATGTCAGCCCAATTTTCCCATACTTGAGCATGGCGTGTGTTTTTGCTTTTATCTTGAGTTTTGGCTTAGGACCAGGTCAGTCACTGAAATCGTAACTTTTGGGAGTTTTTTTTGCTTCATTGCCGCCTTTCTTCAGCAGCTGCATAACAGTGATTTCTTTCTGTTCTTCTCCTATGAAGGTGGCGTGACCAACATCTTAACCACTGAGCTGTTCACACAAAACACGCGCCCTGCAGCGTACATGATTGCAGGATCAGTGAACTGGTTGAGCTTTTTCTTCATCGGCATGATCTTCCCCTTTATTGTGGTAAGTGTTTACGATGATTGGGAATATGTTTTACGAAGACTAGGTGCATTTAAAGTCAAGAAGCAAGTCTGGATGTTTGATAGCATCGACTCACTTGTGTTTCTTTGTCACAGCTCGGCCTGAAGCAGTACTGTTTCCTGGTCTTCTTGGTCGTCTGCTGCTCGGTGGGAACGTACATTTTCCTTGTTGTTCCTGAGACCAAGAACAAAACCTTCCTGGAAATCCAGAACGAGTTCCTGTCGTCCAACAAGAGAAAGGCGTGCAGTTCTGATGGAGCAGGGACAACACTGTTATCGACTTCTATATAAAACGTACCTCATGATTCGGGTTGATCGACTGAAGCCTCTTTGTCTCCCACAATATGTATGTCACAAAGATAATTAATGAGGATTGGTAGTTCACACATGACACAACATATCTATGATGTAGCGTAGCAATGAATTACGCTGTGCACAACTTCTGGTGCAAGCCCTCATACCATCACACATTGACCACTGCAGCTCCTTACTGGTGGGCCTCCCCGCATCCACGGTCAAACCTCTGCAGATGATCCAGAATGCAGCAGCACATCTGGTTTTCAACCAGCCAAAAACAGCACGTCACTGTTCAGATCACTTCAGTGGTTTCTAGTGGCTGCCCGCATCAAATTCAACACTACACAAAACTACAATGCGAACAGTTCCCTTCTACCTGAAGTCTCTCATTTGGATCTACACTCCCTCTCGCTCACTACGCTTGACCAGCAAAAGCTGCCTGATACAACCACCTCAACGGGCCTGAGGTCAATAGCTGGACTCTTCTCCTCTGTGGTGGAATGAGTTACCACACTCTGTTGTCTCTGTTTCTTTCTTTTCGGTCTTTCTGAAGAGCCTGCTGTTCCCGCTTTTCACTTTTTGGACTTGACGGACTGAAACCAACAAAACAAACTCCTATAACCTCCTATTTCGTCTGCTATTGGCTTCTCTTGCCTTTCACACTTGAATTTGTTCTATGGCACTTATCCAGGTTGCTTTCTCCTCACTAGATCCTTGCTTGTGCTGTATCTGCTCTCAGATGTACGTCGCTTTGGATAAAAGTGTCTGCTAAATGAAAATGTAGAAATTGTAGAAATGACACTGTCAACTGGTGCCTTCGGAGATGTGCCGGGTAGTGGTAACTGCATCTCTCGAGATGATCTACAAAATTATCTTCGCAAGTCGTGTTTTGGTACAACATGTTTTGGTTTTTAAAGCTTTTACGAAAGGTGCTCTACTGAGATTTTTCAATAAAGATCAGTTTATGAAAAATGTTGTGTAAACCATGCAAATGGGCTCAGAGTGAACTTTGCGTGGCATTTAGGCTGCTTGATATTTAGCTTTTCTAATCTTTCAGTGTGGCATGTGATCCGGAGAACAGAGGGTTCACTGAAGTGTTGTTCATTTACAAGGTTGGAAAGAGTTTTAGCGAGAGTGTCAGTGTGTGTCTGTGTGTTAGAGAGTATTAGAGGTATGATCAAACAGACAGTATGATGTTTTTATATATGCAAATACATTTACGAAAAGAGAAGTAAGAAAAAGAAGTAAAGCAGATATTTAGGTAACATGGTTGCTGTGAAGGAGTTTATGTGACGTAACAATAGAAATACATGGGCTCATTCAAAACAGACCTATTTATTTGTTAAAAGTGTTTAACGCAAATTGAGCTACAATATCTTTCTAATTGTGCCACAACAGTTGAACTGGGACCTGCTCTATCATTTTTGTCTGTTCCCCAAAAGAACAACATTTAATCAAAAAGCTACTTGAGCAAAAGCAAAACTGAATTAAAAGCACAAGCAGGCAAGCGCTGGCTACTCGAGCTACTCAATTAAAGTAATCCTACACTGACTGCTAGTCTTGAGGAGTTGGCTCAAATTCCCAGCTGCTATAATAGGCTTAACTTCAAAACTATTCATGACAGCAGTGAGGAAAATGTGATCAGATTAGATTTCTGTCTTTTATTAAAACTGTACAGTGCGTGGCGAGCACAAATAACAAAGAAGAAGAGATAAAACTCTAAATGAAGCGACCAGACTCGGTGGCTCATGTAGTCTTTGTATGTCCGTCAGGTGTTCGTACAGCGACGGAGCGAACTCCTGATTTAAATGATATGCTTCACTTAGCAGGAAAAATGTTGGCAGCCAAGATTTGTACAGATGTGCTACTGATTGTAAGCAACAAGCTGTTGTCTCAGTGGGAAGCTGAGACCATACATGCATGGCCAGATTAACCCATGATGGGGATATGAGGCAAAAATAAGCTGTGGGCCCTTGTTGAACTTCTCTTTCTCCTGCTTTCTGTGCGCTGTGTATGTAACATGCACCCTGTAGCCTTCAAACACCCATGAAGTGCCAAAGCAGACTGCTTAATTAGATTTTTCCGAGCTACAGAAAAAGTACACTTGTGTTGCAGTATACATGCTCCTAGGTTACAGAATATGCACAATATACAAAACACTACTAGAGGTGTTACAATAAAGTTTTAAAACAAGGTCTCCATATAGAACGGGGCCTTAAGATAAAGTAGTAATGCAGGATCTGCCTTAAGCTGATTATTATTTCAGATGATGGTGGTTTTTAATGGTCAATGTTTCAAAATAAAGGTACAATTGACAAAAAATGTGTCAAGTCAGCTTTGCCTAAGTATGGTGAATACACGCTTACATATACAGTCAGCAACCAGTGAAGATTGTCCACAGTAGCAGGGCTTGCAGACACCCTATAATAATAATAACAATGGTGTAAAATCTTCATCTTCAAAGACACTAATCAATATTAATAACGCTTTGTAAACAAGGGTTTAAAACACAAAAGCAGGGTACCCGTGAGGTAAAATACCAGCACTTAAACTCATAACATAAAGACCACAGGTGCAAAAATGCGAAAAGGCAATATGGCTATAACAATAAATACAAGCAAAACAATCAAAGAAATAAAACTTTAATAGCCAAGTCAAATCTATGCCATTTATATATCACATTTACAATACCAGAAAGTCAGCTAAAGTGCTTTCCGGTGAATAAATATGACTGGTGTTACAAGTTTACCTGACCAATTTAAATATTAGTGTTAAGACCTTAAGATATGATTAATTATGCAAACTTTCCTGACTTATTTAAATAAAAGGGGTAAAGACTCTACAATGTTATTTATTTTAAAATTTGGGATACCTGAGTTATATAAACATCAAGATTAGGACCCTACAGTGTTACTTATTCTGTCAATTTGCCTGAGTAGTTCAAATTTAAAGATAAGATAAGATAAGATAAGATAAGATATGCCTTTATTTATCTCACAAGGAGAAATTCACATCGTTGACAGCAGCTTCCAACAGACGTACACAGATACGACACAGGAAAAAACAAAAAATAAAAAATGTACATATAAATATCAGATATCAGAAATAGTGCAAACATGAAAAATGGGCTTCTGGGAATATAGAAAAAGATATATGTATATATATATATATATGTATGTTT